CCATAAGAGGGATTGGTAAGATTTCTAGTTGCTCGATGACTGCGAATGCGATCAACCGGCTCCACACAGCTGCTTCACGGGTTTGCCTATCCAGCGCAGTGCAGGCGCTCTCATAAACGCATGGCCTGCCGTCGCAACTGCACTGCATTTTTGTTTGTTTGCAAGAACACGGTTAATAAGTGAGGAGAAGAACAAGCTGCCGTCCGTACACACAGCAAGTTTAACTTATTCAGTCACTTGCAGCTCGGCGACATTATTCTAAATTCGTGCAATTTTAAAGGTCCAAGTTTCATAACTTATTCCTTCGTGTTGTACGCGGTAAGCAGCCTGTGTTGGAAAGTGTTCGACACATTGGTCGCACACCTTCGAGTGTGTTCGACGGTTGAAGCACTCACACTCAGAAAACCATTTGATTCGCGAAAAACGGAAGCCAAGAATATTTTCCTTCCGTTCAACAAATTTTCATCACCCTGATCACATGATTTGGTCATGTTGATGATCGGCGTGATCCTGTATAATAACAATCAAACACAACTGTCCCCAGTGCATTATTTTTGCATCCTTACAAAAATTACTTTGTTATTTACGCAGACTGAGCACAATGTTTCCAGGGTGGCTTGGCGTTGGTCGCGCGTGCAAACGAGCGAGCGTCTGGCCCAAGCAGTGCTGTGCTGCGCGAGTCCTTTGTGCAGGACTCGACCAGGCGCAGCAGCGCGCAGCACGGCGCAGCAGCCCCGCCGGTCTTTTTTGACGATTGCCATAAAAATAACGACGTGAAGCCAAGCTAAAACCTACGCGCAGCTTTGCGCCGGGAGCGCGCGGGAATGCAAACCAATTTGTCCTCTGCGCAACCCAAAAGTGCGCATCACCAGAGTAACACTCTTTCAAGTACATCCTTTTGCGTGCCTCATAAAACGTACCGGACGTGGTCTTGCCTCTGAGTCAGACGCACAAGTAAGAAGTGTGTGTAAGCCGGTACTATGAGGACTTGAAATTTGGGTGGGTTTGCCGAGCGTCTCATCCATGTAGTCCCGTCGGAGCGAGCAAGCATTTTGTCCCAACGTACCTTTAGTAACAGTAGCGAAACACGCCAAGAGTACAACATTCCCACTGGAATGCGGCCTTGTAAAGTAATAGGAACAACAAACAACCGCAGACATAAACGTTCGTCACAGAACAAAAACAAAAACTCTTGTTGTGAAATTTGATCGCATAAGTTTTGAGTATTTGAAGCTTCGTTCCATATCGCGACGACGATGCTCACGTGGCCGCTGTGCCATCGCGCCCAAAGAGGGGCTGCGCCACGGCAAAATATAAAACGAATAAGAAAAAAGAATCTGAAGTAAAAATAAAAAAAAGAGGGTCTAGGAGAGGGCACTCGTTGGCCGACAAACAATAACGCCTAATCTGATTCCAGGAGCCGCCGAGTGAGCCGTTGCCTCCGTCGCAGAAGAGAGACGCAAGGCGGGGGGCGGGTGTGGTGCGGCCGGGGGGAAGAGGGGGGGGGGACATAAACCAATTTACCCCCACCTCGCCTCACCGCCGATCGCTGAGAGGAAGGCGTGTGCGCGAGCGGTTTACACCACTCGAAATATTTCAATCATCAGTCCCCCCCCCTTTTCCCTTCCGCGAGCCGACCGCCACCTTCCCCCGCTTCCTGCTCACTTCCTCCTCTCTTCCTTCAGCTCTTCCTCCGCCTCCTTCCTAGCTTTTCCTACCCTCTCCCGCCGCCCCTGCGGCTTCCTGACCATTTTTCTCTCCCTTATTTCACTCCTTCCTACTTCCTGCCGCCCGGGCCGCCGCCTCCCCGTGTGGTTCCATTTGCAGAGGGAGTGACCGGCGCTGCGCCGTGCCGGGCTTGGTGCGCGGACCAGGGCGTGGCGGGGCGTGCTGGTGGGGCGTGGCGGGTGCGCGGGGCGGACGGAGGGGTAGGTGGGCGAGGTGGGCCAGGCACAATAACTCCACGAGCAGTTCGCCGGCTCACCGAGAGAGCGCGCCAGCGCCCCGGCCGCGCTTTGCCGCCACCCCCACCGTCGGCGCGGGTCTGCGCCCCCGTGCCCCCCTATGTTCCCAGCTCCCCTCCCTCCGTTCCCGGACCAGTCAATGAGAGAGAGAGAATATGCATCAGAGGAGCCTGCTGGCCGGCATTGGAAGCTGATTCTTCGTGCTCCGGTGTTATTGAAAGCGATGATACGATAGCAATTTGTCCCGCCGGACCTGGGGGGTCATTGTGCTGGGGTAGCGCCGAGCCCGGCCATCGCCTCGCCCCCACTGACGCTTTGTCCGGCGCGAGGACAAAGCGTCGCGCCTCCCATCCGATGAGTGAAATCCAGGTGCAGGCTGCCGCTGGAAACGGGGAATCGTGTTTCAGCTAGCAGGCGAAAAACATACAATCTAAAAAATGTATATTGGCCCAGCAGATGCACGAAAATAATGAAACAGGCGCGGATAAAAGCCGGGTGACCGAGCGAGCTGGTCGTCAGGGTAGATGGTAGGCACTTGCGGCACCTGCGGCACCTGCGGCACCTGCGGCAGATACGGTGCCTGCAGCACATGTGGCACCTGCGGCACCTGCGGTACATGTGGCACCTGCCGCAAATGCGGCACCTGCGGCACATGTGGCACCTACCGCAAATGCGGCACCTGCGGTGCGGTACATGTGGCACCTGCGGCAACTACGTTGCCTGTGGCACCTGCGCTACCTGTGGCACCTGCGGCAACTACGGCGCCTGCAGCACATGCGGCACATGCGGCACCTGCGGCCCAGCCGTCTGCTGCACCTCAGAGGGCGGGAGGCTGGCGAGGGGAGGGGGAAGCGAGAGCATAGCCGCGGAGGGG